GAGATGAAGAAAAGAACAAAGGACATATAAAACATTCTGAAAACAACACAATAAAAGGCATGAGTCTTCCACCTATAAATAAAAACCTTGACGAAGACAGATTAAATTCCTACCTTAAAAGATGTATGCTAAATGGATATTTTAAATGATCCAACTATATGCTACCTACAAGAAACTCACTTCACCCCTAAAGACACAAATATGGCCAGACGCAGTGGCTCACACCTGTAATCCCAGCACTTTGGGAGGCCAAGGTGGGTCGATCACCTGAGGTCAGGAGTTCAAGACTAGCCTGGCCAACGTAGTGAAACCCCGTCTCTAATAAAAATATAAAAATTAGCCAGGCATGGTGGTGCATGCCTGTAGTCCAGGCTACTCGGGAGGCTGTGGCAGAATTGCTTAAATCCGGGAGGTGGAGGTTGCAGTGAGCCAAGATAGCACCACTGCACTCCAGCTGGGGCAATGGAGCAAGACTCTGTCTTTTTTTTAAAAAAAAAAAAAAAAAAAAAAAGAGAGAGAGAAAGACACAAATAGACTGAAAGTGAAGGAATAGAATATATTCCATGCAAATGGAAACCAAAGGCAGCAGTAGTAGCTATATATTTTTTTCTTTTTCTTCTTTTTTTTTTTAACCATAAAGGAGTAGCTATACTTAGAATAGATAAGAGACTTTGTATCAAAAACAGTAGGGATGAAATCAGGAAGAGGATACAAAAATTGTAAATATATATGCACCCAATATCAGAGCACCCAGATATGTAAGGCAAATATTATTACATCTAAAGGGAAAGACAGACTCCATTACAATAATACTTGGGGACTTCAACACCCCACTTTCAGCAATGGACAAATCATATACACAGAAAATAAACAAAGAAACATTGAGTTTAAACTGACTTTAGACCAAATGGACTTAAAAGACACTGACAGTTCTTTTCATCCAACAGCTACGGAACACACATTTTTTTTCATAAGCACATGCAATATTTTCAAGGAGAGACTGCATGGTAAGCCACAAAACAAATCACAAAAATTAAAAGAAAATCACATCAAGTACATTTCTAACTGCAATGAAATAAAACTAGAAATAACAAGAGGAACTTTTAAAACAGTACGAATAAATGGAAATTAACTAACAGGATTCTGAATGACCAACGCGTAAATGAAGAAATTAAGAAAAAAAATTAATGTCTTAAAATGAATGAAAATAGAAACTCAGCATGTAAAAATGTATGGGATGCAGCAAGAGTTTTAAGATGAAAGTATATAGCAATAAACACCCATATCAAAAACAAGAAAGATCTGGCTGGGTGTGGTGGCTCACACCTGAAACCCCAGTGCTTTGGGAGGCCAAGGCAGAAGGATGACTTAACGCTGGGAGTTCAAGACCAGCCTGGGTAATACAGTAAGACACTATCTCTACAAAAAAAAAGAAAAAAAAAAAATTAGCTGGTCATGGTAGTGCATGCCTGTCGTCCTAGCTATTCTGGAGGCAGAGGTGAGAGAACTGCTTGAGCCCTGGAGTTCAAAACTGAGGTGTGAGGATCACTTGAGCCCAGAAGTTTGAATTGATTGTGCTACTACACTCCAGCTTAGGCAACAGAGTAAGACCCTGTCTCTTAAAAAAAGAAAAAAAAATCTAACAATGCTTCTTAAGGAACTAGAAAAGAACAAACCAAACCCAAAATTACAAGGAAGGAAATAACAAAGATCAGAACAGAAATAAATAAAACTGAGACTTAAAAAAATTCAAAGGATCAATGAAATGAAAAGTTGGTTTTTTGAAGATGATAAACCTTTAGACTAACCAAGAGATAAGACCCACATAAAATCAAATACACACAAAAATAGAGTCATTAGAGACTATTATATACAACTACAAATCAAAAAATTGGAAAGCTTACAGAAGACAAATTCCTGGACACACACAACCCATCAGGATTGAACCAAGAAGAAAGAGAAAACTTGAACTGACCAATTCTGAGTAACAAGATTGAATCAGTAATAAAAAGTCACCCATCAAAGGAAAGTCCATGATGATGGCTTCACTGCTGAATGCTACCAAATGTTTTAGAAAAATTAAATATGAATTATTCTCAAACTTTCCCAGAATAATGAAGAGGAGGGAATTATTCTAAACTCATTCCACAGGCCAGCATTACCATGATACAAGCACCAGACAAGGACGCACACATGCAAAAGAAAACTACAGGCCAATATTCCTGATGAACATAAACGTAAAAATCCTCAACAAAATACTAGCCAACCAAATCAAAAAATATATCAAAAAGATTGTTTACCATGACCAAGTGAATTTGATTCCAGGGATGCAGGAATGGTTCAACATATACAAAACAATAAACATGATACATCAACAGAATGAAGAACGAAATGATGTGATCCTCTCCATAGATGCAGAAAAAGCCTCTGGTAATATTCAATATCCCTTCATGATGAAAACTCTTAACCAATTATACATATTAATAGAAAGAATGTACCTCAACATAATAAAGGTAATAAATAACAAACCCACAGCTAATATCATGCATAATGGGAAAGAGCTGAAAGCTTTCTCTCTACAATCTGAAACAAATAAAGGTGTGAAAGTGGGTATACTTTTTTAAAACAAAGTAGAGGAAGTCTGAGATAGAGGAATCAGGCAAGAGAAATAAATAAAGGGCATGCAAATAAGAAAAAATGAAGTCAAATTATCCCTGTATGCACATGACAGGATCAGAAAACCCTAAACTCCAAAAGTAGCACCAAAAAACTCTTAGGACTGATAAACAAATTCACTGAAGTTACAGGATATAAAATCAACATGCAAAAATCAGTAGCACTTCTATACACCAACAATGAATTAGCTGAAAAAGAAATTAAGAAAGCAATCCCATTTACAATATTTCACCAAAAATAAAACACTAAGAATACAAGGAAACTACATAATACTGATGAACTAAATCAAAGAGGGCACACATAAAAATGGAAAAACATCCCATGGTCATGGATTTTAATAGTTAATATTATAAACACGAACATACTTTCCTGTAAGAGATAGCTTATTAAAAAAAATGAACATACTACCTCAAATGAACTACAGATTCCATGTACTCTCTAACAAAATACCAATTATTTTTCACAGAAATAGAAATAGTAATCCTAAAATTCATATAACATCACAAAAGATACTGAATATCCACAGCACTCCTGAGCAAAAATAAAAAAAACGGGAGGTATCACACTAACCGACCTTGAAATATACTACAAAGTGATGGTAACTGAAACTGCACAGTATGGGAAATTTTAAGAAACCACACAGACCAATGGAACAAAACAGAAAGCCCAGACATAAATCCCATTTACAGCCAACTGATTTCTAAAAAAGGCACAAAGAACATTCATTGGGAATAGGATAGTCTCTTCAATAAATGGTGTTGGGACACTGGATATTCATATGCACATGCAGAAGAATGAAACTAGACTCTTATCTCTCACCATATGCAAAAATCAACTCAAAACACCAAGTATGCTGGCTCATACCAGAAATCCCAGCTACTCAGAAGGCTGAGTTTACAGGCTCACTTGAGTCCATGAGTTCAGAACCAACATGGTGAGACCATGTCTCTAAAAAATAATTAAAAAGCAAAAACAAAAATTGGGAATGTATTTTTAGGGCAATTTGAATCTATGCTCGTGGGATAAATAATCAGCTCAAAATGGTTTAAAAACTTAAATGTAAGAGCAAAAACTATGAAACTACTAGAAGAGAACAGAAAATGCTTCAGGATACTGATCTGGGCAAAGATTTTATAAAGACCTAAAAATCAAGGTAACAAAAGCACAAATAAACAAAGGGATTATATTAAACTAAAAAACTTCTGCACAGCAAAGGAAACAACAGAATGAAAACGAGCAGAGTGGGATATTCACAAACTATTCATCTGAAAGGCATTAATATCCAGAATACACAAGGAACTCAATAGCAATTTTTAAAAATCTGATTTTAAAATGGGCAAGGAAGGTGAATAGATATCCCTCAAAAGGAGACACACAAATGGCCAAGTATATGAAAAAATGCTCAACATAGCTAATCAGGGAAATGCAAATCAAAACCACAATGAGATATAATTTCACCTCAGTTAGAATGGCTGTTACCTAAGATAAAAAATAAAAAATGCTGCTGAACACATGGAAAAGGGGGAACTCTTATACATGGCTGGCAGGAACGTTAATTAGTATAGCCACATGGAAAACAGTATGGATGTTCCTCAAAAAACTAAAACTACAGCCAGGCACGGTGGTATGCACCTGTAGTCCCAGCTACTCAGGAGGCTGATGTGGAGGACTGCTTGAGCCCAGGAGTCTGAGACCAGCCTGAGCAATACAGTAAGACCCCATTTTAAAAAATTAAACAAAAGTTAAAAAATACAACTATCATATGATCCAGTGGTAATCATCTATACCACTACTGGGCATATATCCAAGAAAAAAAAAATCCGTATGTCAAAGATCTACACTCCTATGTTTATTGAAACACTATTCATAACAGCTAAGAAATTAATCTAAGTGTCCATTAACAGATGAATGAAGAAAGAAAACATGGCATATATACACAATGGAATACTACTCGGCCATAAAAAATAAACCTGTCATTCACAGCAACATGAATGAGCTTTAAAGACATTAAGTAAGTTAGGCACAGAAAGAGAAATACTCCATGTTTCTACTTATATGGAAGCATAAAAAGTTGAGTACAATGGTGGTTACCAGAGGCTAGGAAGGATAGCAGGGAGGCAGACAGAGATTGGTTAACAAATATAAAATTACAGCAAGTGAAATTCCATCTGAATAAGTTCTAGTGTTCTGTGGCACTATGGGATGAGTACAATTGGCAACAATTCATTTTATATTTTCAAATAGCTAGAAGAGCAGATTGTGAATGTTTCTAAACACAAAGAAATGATAAATGCTTGAGGAGATGGATATGCTAATTACCCTGATTTGATCTTTACTCTTTGCACACATGTATTGAAATACCATGTTGAACCCCATAAACATTACGTGTCAATTAACAATAACAAAAAGAATACCAAAAGAGAAATTCCAAAATATTCTCATAAAATATGTTGTTATGACTGGACTAAATCCATGGTGACAACTACTTGCATAAACACATGCAGGTTTACCTGCTAAAATTCCAGTCACTTTATAGTCAGCCTTCATACAATCTCCTGTAAGATTGAAAATGAGATTCCTTCTCTGTGTTTATTTTGAGTTTATCATAATCCTGTAGCTTAATTTAGCTACAGGTTTGATTTCATTTTTAGTTCCAAATTGACCTCTAAAAAACTGCTGAGGTGAACTCTGAACTCTTTCCTCTCTCCAAAGAGGAGTGAAGAAGCTGAGAAACCACAATCAGAGGGAACAATCAGGACCCGCCCCCCCAGGATTACATTATGTACAAACAGCTACAATTTCATCTCCATCCCACAGAAAAAGAAAAAGAAAGTCAATACAGATCAAGAAAAAAGTATGTGTACTGGATGGTTAAAGACACATGGAGAAACATTTTTTTTTAAAAAAACATCAAAGCATCTTAAGTATGCAGTAAAATGTCCCCATTCATTGTACATCCTTATCTCCTTAAATGTAAAAGTATTTCATAACCCAAGCCTCCATCTTTCTCATAAAGATGTATGCTGCTTCTCCTCAAGATTGGAAACAATGCTGTGGAACAAAGTAGGCTTTCACAAAATGTTTTCAAACAAACCATCTGTCTAACTGTCCTGACACTGGACAGCAGTGAATGTATACACAGGGAAAATAAAGGGGATGAGGCCCTTTTGTTTCCGAAACATTTCCCTCTCCCAAATAAAATAAGGAGGGGATGACAAATTGCCATGGGCTTGTCAGGGAAGTCTGAAAGAAGCTGTGCTTCCATTTCTTTCTCTTCCCTATGTCTCCTCCTCCTTTGTTTGAATGTCCCTGAGATAACATTTCACTGTAAACTAACAAGAAAGATGTGGCTGAAGGTTTTCTTAAGTGCACAATAACCATTGGGTCTCTCTCATGGGTGAATTATCAAATGTAGAATAAGACTCTTGATTGTGTCAGTTTCTAACATAATTGTTTAGATGACAAATGATCATCTAAAATAGGTTTTCCCACAGAGATGATGCTTATTGAGTTTCTCTTCACTATGAATGGCCAGATGGTAAGATGTTTCCTCTCACCACAGATTTTCTTCAGTGGTTATATTAAAAAACTCTTTCCCTAACAGGAATTCTTGGATGTTGACTGAAGTGTGTGTAAAAAGTCTTCCCGCATCTGTTACAATGGTAGGGTTTCTTCCAGTATGAATCCATTGATGTCAAGTGAGGAGGAATGGGCGGCCATTGAAGGCGTTTCCACATCCACGGCACTCACTGGGCTACTCTCAGTGTGGATCATGGACTGCTGAATGAGATCTGTGCTCTGGCAAGAAACGTTCCCACTCTGGATGTGTTCATGGGACTTCTCTGCAGTGTGAATCCGCTGGTGCCTTGTGAGGGGTGACCTGCGGTTGAAGGCCTTTCCACACTCCACGCACTCATAGGGCTTCTCTCCAGTGTGGATGCTGAAGTGTCGAATGAGGTTTGTGGTCCGACAAAACGCTTTCCCACATTGGATGCATACGTAGGGCTTCTCTCCAGTATGAATCCACTGGTGCCTTGTGAGCCCTGACATGCGGGTAAAAGCCTTTCCACACTGTAAACACTCATAGGGCTTCTCTCCAGTGTGGATGTTGAAGTGACGAATGAGGTCTTTTCGAATGCTAAAGGCTTTCCCACATTCTTTGCACTGAAAAGGTTTTTCTCCAGTGTGGGCTCTTTCATGCAAGACATAGGTGGAATAGTGAGTGAAAGCCTTTCCACATTGACTGCACACAAAGGGCTTCTCCCCAGTGTGAATCCGCTCGTGCTGCTTGAGGTGTGACCTGCAATTGAAGGCCTTCCCACACTCAAGGCACTTAAAGGGCTTCTCCCCAGTATGGATAAAGAAGTGTTGAAGGAGGGCTGTACTCTCATAAAAGCCTTTTCCACATTCACTGCATGTGAAGGGTCTTTTCTCATAGTGGCTCTTGTTATGCAAGACAAAATTGGAGCGGTAGGTGAAGGCCTTTCCACATTCATTGCATACAAAAGGTTTCTCTCCACTGTGAACTCGCTGGTGCCGTGTAAGGTGTGACCCGCGGTTGAAGGTCCTTCCACAATCACTGCACACAAAAGGCTTATCTCCATTGTGAGTCCGCTGGTGTCGTGTGAGGTGTGACCTACGGTTGAAGTCTTTCCCACACTCCATGCATTTATAGGGCTTCTCCCCAGTATGGATGATGTGATGCTGAAGGAGGTGTTTGGTCTTACCGAAGGCTTTCCCACATTCTGGGCAATCGTAGGGCTTCACCTGAGTGTGAATCTGCTCATGCTGAACAAGGAAGCAATTCTGATTAAACACTTCCTCGAATTTATAGGAATTTTCCCCTTCATGAATCAAGGAATCTGTAACTGGTCCATATGACTCAAATCCATAGAGAGCATCTACTGGTGAGACTTGTTTCTGTAGAATCATTGAACACGTACCATCAGCTGTCGCCAAACCTTCATGTTCAAGGCTCATTTCCCCGTGGAGGTTCTCACTCTGTGGGTCTGTCCCTGGTCTCCAGAAGTCTTCCTGCATTTCAGATGGCCCATCCTGATCCATGGCCTGCCCCCACTGGGAGTATCCTGGGACTCCCTGTACCAGTTGTTCCTGGAGTGAGACTTCCTCAGGCAAGGCCGAGTGAGAAGGGATAGGCTCTAAGGTCTCAGGTTTTGTGCTATCACCTGAAGGGAATACAATACACAAAAGAGCATATTAAGATAGTATAGAAGAAATGAAACCACCATTTCGATGAGAAAAGTAAGATGAAAATAGTGATGATTTGAAAATAGCTATGATTTGGCTGGGCGCAGTGGATCATGCCCGTAATCCCAGCACTTTGAGAGGCCAAGGTGAGCAGATCATGAGGTCAAGAAATCAAGACCATCCTGGCTAACAGGGTGAAACCCCGTCTCTACTAAAAGTACGAAAAATTAGTCAGGCGTGGTGGCATGCACCTGTAGTCCTAGCTACTCAGGAGGCTGAGGCAGGAGAATTGCATGAACCTGGGAGGTGGAGGTTGCAGTGAGCTGAGACTGCACCACTGTACTCCAGCCTGGGCAACAGAGTGAGATCCCTTTTAAAAAAAAAAAAAAAAAAAAAAAAAAAATAGGGGCCACGGTGGCTCATGCCAGTTGTCCTGGCACTTGAGGAGCCGAGGCTATGCGTTCAAGGCCAACCAATCTGTGCAACATAAGAACCTCTCATTCATTAAAAAAATAAATAAAATAAAAATAAAAATAAAATAAAATAATATAAAATAAAATAGCTATGATTTGATGTGCTGGGTACAGTGGCTCATGTCTGTAATCCTAGCACTTTGGGAGGCTGAGACGAGTGGATCACTTGAGGTCAGGAATTCAAGATCAGCCTAGCCAACATGGTGAAACCCTATATCTACTAAAAATACAAAAATTGGCCAGGCATGGTGGTGGGCACCTATAATCCCAGCTACTTGGGAGGCTAAGACAGGAGAATTGCTTGAACCTGGGAGGTGGAGGTTGCAGTGAGTAGAGATTGAGCCACTGCACTCCAGCCTGGGTGGCAGAGGGAAACCCATCTCAAAAAAAAAGGTCAGGAGCGGTGGCTTACACCTGTAATCCCAGCACTTCGGTTTGCGAGGCTGAGGTGGGCGGATCCCAGGTGATCTGCCCACCTCAGCTTCCAAGGTAGCTGGGACTACAGGCATATGCCACCATGCCTGGCCTTTTTTTTTTTTTTTTTTTTTGAGATGGAGCCTCACTCTGTTGGCTAGGCTGGAGTGCAGTGGCGTGATGTCAGCTCACTGCAACTTCTGCTTCTTGGGTTCATGTGATTCTCCTGAATCAGCCTCCCAAGTAGCTGGGATTACAGGTGTGCACTACCATGCCGGGCTAATTGTTTTGTATTTTCAGTAGAGATGGGGTCTCATCATATTGGCCAGACTGGTTTGGAACATCTGACTTCAGGTGATCTGCCCACCTAGGAATTCCAACATGCTGGAATTACAGGTGTGAGTCACCACACCTGGCCAAATTTTTTTTTTTTTTTTTTTTTAAAGAGATGGGGTTTCACCATGTTGCCAAGTCTCGAGTTCCTGGCCTCAAGCAATCCGCCCACTTCTGCCTCCAAAGTGCTGGGATTACAGGCATGAGTCACCATGCTTAGCCAACTCTGGAAATTTTTAAAGAGAAGCCCAGCGGTAGAAGCTCAAGCAGAGTACAGAGTGTCTAGAATAGAGATCTCCACTCACAGTCAAGACGAGACTAGGTGAATATCATAATGATGACACTGTATGGTGAGCTTGCTCAAAGCAAGATGTCAAGATGCTACAAGAGGCCAGGGAAGGGGCACTTAATGTAGCCTAGATAGGGTAGGGAAAGGAAGAGGTAAGGAGGCTTCCCAGAGAGGATGCTTCATGAGCTTACCTCTAATGGAGAGGTGAGGTTGCCATATAGAGAAAGTGGGAGGGTAACAGTAGCCTTAGGACATAGAATATATAAAAACACAGTTTCAGAGAATCCAGGGAACTACAGTGAGAGGAGGCAGCCCATGAGAAGTTAAAGTTGGTCAGGATTCAGAGACAGGAAGGGGCAGAGAGGAAGCTGATGCTCAAGATTCTGCCTGAGGGACAGCTAGCGACAGCCACAGCTACTCCTAGGACAGACCTCCTAGGACAGAGGGAGAACAGATTCCTGGTAGACATATAGAATCCACTGTGTCAGGGTGAAAGATAGGTGAAAAGGCTAACAAACAAGTGGATCTTGAAAAAGAAAACTATAAAACTTTATTTCAAGACAATAAACATCTACTTGAATGAATAAATTAATAATATAAAGTTATCAACTCTCTCAAAACTGATCCAGAAATTAAATACAACTCTGAAAAACAATAACCTGAAAACTCTAGAAAAAGACATAATCTGACAGGTTCCTGCCTGTAATCCTGGCTACTCAGGAAGCTGAGGGTGGGAGGATGACTTGAGCCTAGGAGTTCGAGACCAGCCTGGACAATATAGCCAGACCCCACCTCTTTAAAAAAATAGTAATAATAATAAATAAAAATAGGCCAGGCACGGTGGCCCACATCTGTAGTCCTAGCACTTTGGGAGGCCGAGGCAGGTGGATCACGAGGTCAGGAGTTTGAGACCAGTCTAGCCAACATAGTGAAACCCCTTTATTATTTTCTCTACTAAAAATACAAAAAATTAGCCGGGTGTTGTGGTGTACACCAGCTACTCAGGAGGCTGAGGCAGGAGAATTGTGTGAACTCCAGGAGGCAGAGGTTGCAGTGAGGCCAGACTGCGCCACTGCACTCCAGCCCAGGCAACAGTGCGAGACTCTGTCTCAAAAAATAAAACAAAATAAAAACAAAAATAAATAAAAACAATGTGCAGATTAGCCTTGAAGAGTATTTAAGAGTAAAAAGGATGGGCTATGAGATAACTGATGAAGCCAACTTAAAAGCGAACATCAGAGTAAGAAGAGAACCAAAGTCCAGTGAGAATAGGGAAAGAGAATCTAAGAGGGCCAGATGTGCAAGCACAAAATATGAACTCTGTGCTGAATCATGAGTTCATAGTGAAGGGAGGTTAAGAGTGTAGCCCTCGAGTCAGAACATCTCAGTTCAAATCTTGCCTGTACCAAGTCAGCTACAGAAGAGAAATGATTTAGCTGATCCTAGTCTCCATTTCCTCATCTGAAAAACAGAAACTCTCAGATTCTGTCTCATAGGCTATGACGAGGGTTAAATAGGAAAATTCTTGGCTGGACATGGTGGCTCATGCCCGTAATCCCCTTACTTTTGGAGGCTAAGGCGGAAGAATTGCCTGAGGCCCAGAGTTCAAGACTAGCCTAGGCAATATAGCAATACCCTGTCTTTACAAAAAAGTTAATAAATTAGTCGGACATTGTAGTGTGAGCCTGCAGTCCCAGTTACTCTGCAGGAGAATTGCTTGAGCCCAGGAGTTTAAGGCTGCAGTGAGCTATGATGGTGCCACTGCACTCCGGCCTTGACAACAGAACAAGACTCTGTCTCTTAAAAAAGTGGGAAATTTCTGGCTGGGTGCGGTGGCTCATGCCTATAATCCCAGCACTTTGGGAGGCCAAGGCGAGTGGATCACTTGAGGTCAGGAGTTTGAGACCAGCCTGGCCAACATGATGAAACCCCATCTCTACTAAAAACAGAAAAACTTAGCTGGGCATCGTGGCAGGCATCTGTAGTCTCAGCTACTCGGGAGGCTGAGGCATGAGAATCGCTTGAACCTGGGAGATGGAGGTTGCAGTGAGCTAAAATCATGCCACTGCACTCCAGCCTGGGTGACAGAGTGAGACTTTGTCTCAAAAAAAAAAAAAAAGCGGGGCGAAATTTCTATAAAGCACTTGCTTGGCACAGTGCTAGACACTACATAAGAGACTAGTAAATTGTGGGCCATCATCAGTTATCATTATGGTCACTGTTGTATTTGAAAATTAGGAATAAAAGTAGTGACCTTACAACGGTTTCTGTGCTGTGATACACAGAAACCTATCACATGGACTCAAAGAATAAAAGGGAATGATGTTTTGTTTGTTTTTTTTTTTTGTGATGGGGCCTTGCTCTGTCGTCCAGGCCAGAGTATAGTGGTGTGATCCTGGCTCACTGCAACCTCTACCTCCCAGGTTCAAGCAATTCTCCTACCTCAGCCTCCTGAATAGCTGGGATTACAGGCGCCTGCCACCACATCCAGCTAATTTTTATATTTTTAATAGAGACAGGGTTTCACCATGTTGGCCAGGCTGGTCCAAACTCCTGACCTCAGGTGATCTGCCCACCTTTGCCTCCCAAAGTGCTGGGATTACAGGCGTGAGCCACTGCGCTTGGCCTCAGTGCGTGGACTTCTTAAGATTTTTGTACTATATAGCATATAAGTTATAGCTAATTCAAAAAGTAAAAGAGATGGGGTCTTATTATGATGCCCAGCCTGGTCTTGAACTCCTGGCCTCAAGCAATCCTCTCACCTCAGCCTCCCGAGTAGCTGGGAGTAGAGGCATCTGGCTTGCATTGCAGGGTTATTAATTGACTTAACTGCATTACTGTTGTATCTCAGAGAATACAGAGGCCCAAGGAGAGAGAAGAATGGCCAATAGGTGGAGCAGTCAGAACAAACAAAACATTTGTTGATAAAGCTGTCTTATAGGGTTTAGTTCATGGTTCCCCACAGCAATTACAATAGTAATATCAAAGACCACTGATCACAGATCACCACAATAAATACAATATTAATGAAAACGTTTGAAGTACTCCAAGAATTACCAAAATGTGACACAGACAAAAAGTGAGCACATGGTATTGGAAAAATGGTGTGGGATAGACTTGCTCAATACAGGGTTGCCACAAACATTCAACTTCTAAAAATACAGTAACTGCAAGGTGCAGTAAAGCAAAGTGCAATGAAACAACCATGAGAAAAGTGAGGCACTTCTCTGCACTGGCATGGGTATAAAGAAATAAAAATTCTAAAAAGAACATTAAAGCACAGAGGAGTTCAGTACCTTGCCCAGGGAACACACAGTTCATAAGGAGTGGAGCTAGGACTGCACTCTGCGGCATCAGACCCTGGTTTCCCAAGTGCTATGCTCAGAGGAAATGGAGAACACCCCTGTGTGGTACCAGGAGCCTCAAAACAAGTAGGCTATAAAGAAGAATGGGAGACATGAGTAGAGGAACCCAATCCTAAGGGAATAGGGCACCAGAATGAGGGGTACATGTGGTGACGCCACACTTTGACATTTCATGAACCACTGAAAAAAAGAACTGGGAGAGAACTCAAAACAGCGATTTGGCCACATACAGACATTTGCACAAACATCAAAATCAACACTTCACAAAAGAAAGAACTTTTACCAAGAAAAAAATGCAACAAACAGCATCTTACAAAGAAGGTATATCTATTAAACTGAATGAATTAAGCTTCTGAGGTGCTCACTGCAATGGCCCTAACCTTACTTACTGAGGATGGGGATGCTGGGAGAATTAAGTGAGAAGAATGTCAACAGAGAAACAACAAAAATATGCAGGAAGTGGTAGTGCCAAGGAATGTGTGAGCCTCGGAGAACAAGAACTGGATGGTCACTTTGTTCCACAGAATAGCTAAGCCAGAAAAAGCCATTATGAAAAGAGTGACAGGAGCAGACCCATAGAGGGAAGCCAGCACAAGACAGAAGGCAGGGCACAATCATGCTTCCTTCCAAATGCAGTATAAGTTCCGCAAGCAGCCTGGCTACAAATCTTGCCTTTGGGTTCTGCAAAACATCCCCATTTTCTAATAACACATCCGCCTCCTTTGGCTATGACCAAAAGCAAACTATATTTCTTAGCCAACCCTTCCTAAGACACAAAGATCAGGAAGAACCAGGTGAGTCAAAAAAATTAGGCCAGGTGTGATGGCTTATGGCTGTAATCCCAGCACTTTGGGAGGCCAAGGCAGGCGGATCGCTTGAGGTCAGGAGTTCAAGACCAGCCTGATCAACATTGAGAAACCCTGCCTCTACTAAAAATACAAAATTAGCTGGGTGTGGTGGTACACGCCTGTAATCCCAGCTACTCACGAGGCTGAGGCAGTAGAATCACTCAAATCCGGAAGATGGAGGTTGCAGTGAGCCGAGATCGTGCCATTGCACTCTAACCTAGGCAACAAGACTGAAACTCCATCTCAAAAAAAAAAAAAAAAAAAAAAGAGTGAAACTTTGGGAAACAGAAACAGGAGTGGCTCCCATGACCTGACCTACTCCACCAGCCAGGCCTGGAGCCAGAATGAAGATTAATGAGGCTAAAATGAAGCTATTTTCAGGTGCCCTTTATGTAGGAGAGGAGAGGAAAGGACAGGAGAGGACAGGCCTTACCCAGTGCAACCAGAAGCCCACAGGTCTCCAGCATCACCTCCACGTACAAGGCCCTCTGGGTCACATCCAACTGCCCCCACTCCTCCTGGGTGAATGTCACAGCCACATCCTCGAAGGTCACAGACTCCTGAAAAGTCAAACAAAGGCAGTAATGTTTCCTTTGGAACTGTGAAATAGCATTAGAACCTGCCACTCCAGCACTGCAAAAGATGCACAGAGAATCAAAGACCAAATCACCAAGCACCTCCAAAGGGCCAAGATCTGTGCCAGGATCAAGGGGAACGTGGACACTGCCTTGCATGGATTACAGAAGTGCAGAGGAGACAGAAGGCTCCTATGCAGGAAGCCACTTAACACAGAAATAAGGTTAGGACAATCCCAAGTGGACTGAGAGGCACAGACAGTAAGTGCTATGACATATCAGAGGAATTGGAAAGAATAATAATAAAAACAACACCACCAGCAACAATAACAGGAACAGCACCTAAGTCTTACCCATCCTCCCTTGTGCCTGCCTTATGACAACAGCTTTACATGCCACGGTAAAGTGACTGAAAGTCCCCAGCTCAGGAGCCAGACTCCTTAGGTTTAAAACCAAATTCCTGAAATCAACACATGCCTGCTATGTGACCTTGGGGACTTCATTTCATTTCTCTGGGCCTCGATTTCCAGGTCAATATAACAGTGTTTCCCACTGCATCAAGAACAGTCAGCTGGGCGCAGTGGCTCATGCCTGTAATCCTATCACTTTAGGAGGTTGAGGTGGCTAGATCACAAGTTCAGGAGTTTGAAACCAGCTGGACCAACATAGCGAAACTCCATCTCTACTAAAAATACAAAAATTAGTCGGGCATGGTGGTCCCTGTAATACCAGCTACTCAGAAGGCCGAGGCAGGAGAATCGATTGAACCTGGGAGGTGGAGGTTGCAGTGAGCTGAGATTGCACCACTGCACTTTAGCCTGGGAAACAGAGTGAGACTCTATCTCAAAAACAAACAAAAAAAAAGAATAGTCAAGGCCAAGAACGGTGGCTCACGCCTGTAATCCCTGCACCTTGGGAGGCTGAGGCAGGCGGATCACCTGAGGTCAGGAGTTCGAGACCAGCCAGGCTAACAGAGTGAGACCTGTCTCTACTAAAAATACAAAAATTAGCCAGGTGTGGTGGCATGAGCTTGTAATCCTAGCTACCAGGGAGGCTGAGGCAGGAGAATCACTTGAACACAGGAGGTGGAGGTTGCAGTGAGCCAAGACTGTGTCAGTGTACTCCAGCCTGGACAACAGAGTGAGACTAT